GTGAGAGCCTGGGGAAAGAGGGTCCTCGCCTTGTGGGGTCTCCTGGGCTTCCCTGCGGCTCTGCCAGTGCTCCCTGCGCCACGAAGGCCGGCATCAGAGCAGGGCAGCGGGAGTCGGGCTCTTCCCTCTCCACTGACGCGCCTCTGGCTTCTCCTTGCCCAGGGAGCGGGTTGCTCAAGAAGAAGACGCTGGTGCCGGGCCAGGGGGTGGACACCCGTCCCCGCAAGGGCCAGGACGTGACCATCCGCCTGAAGGCCACGCTGGAGGACGGCAGCGTGGTGGAGGAGAACCCCGCTCTCACCTTCACGCTGGGGGACTGCGATGTCTTGCAGGTCAGGGCTGGGAGAAAGCTCGCCTGGCTTTATCGCTGCCTTGTTTTCACCCTGTGGAGCAGGACCTTGTCTTGGGGGGTGTGGGGAGGGTTTGGGGTTGGTGACATCCCCATTTGCAGGTGGGAAGCGGCCCCTCTGCCCTTGCTTTTGCTCCTTCCCCACCGTGTTGTTCCCTGCAGGCTCTGGACCTGTGTGTGCAGCTCCTGGAAATGGGGGAAACGGCTTTGATTGTGTCAGATGCAAAGTATTGCTACGGTGTGCAGGGCAGGTGAGCGGGGAGAGCTCAGGGTGGAGCAGGATGGCCCCAAACAGGGCTGTGGAAGCTGTCCCCAGCTCTCTTGGTGACAGCCCAGCCGGCAAGCCACAGCTTCACGGGGCAGGGAGACCCAGCTTGCTTGCCACATGCAGGGGATGGCAGCGTGTCCTGTCGGGGGCGAACGATCTGCATCGCACCCTGTCCCGTGGAGCTTCCATGGCTCTGATTTCTGGGCCGTGGGGCTAAATCTACACGGCGCGGTGGCTGGTGGAACTGGCAGAGGTTGTGCCACGGGTTTGTACCCTTCTCTGCCCAGGAGCCCTGACGTCCCACCCAATGCGGCCATCACCCTGGAGGTAGAGCTGCTGGTGGCTCGGGACGCGCCGGACATGGAGCTGCTCAGCGGGAAGGAGAAGATAGAGCTGGCCAACCGCAAGCGGGAGCGTGGCAACTTCTTCTACCAGCAGGCAGATTACGTGTTGGCCATCAACTCCTACGACATCGCCCTCAAGATCATCAGCTCCAGTTCGAAAGGTACCTGCTCCCGCCCAGCGAGGGCTGTCTGGGATCCAGACCTGCTGTAACCCGGCTCTGGGGTCTTTGCAGTCGATTTCAGCCCGGATGAGGAGGCCGAGCTGCTGGATGTGAAGGTGAAATGTCTCAACAACCTGGCAGCATCTCAGCTTAAATTGGACCATTACGAGGCAGCCCTCAAGTCCTGTAACCTCGTCCTGGAGCACCAGCCAGGGAACATCAAGGCTCTCTTCCGAAAGGGCAAGGTGAGGCTCGGCGCTGCTGTCCCTCCTCCGCGGTGTGACAAAGGGCAGGGATGAGGGACAGAGCGCTCAGATGTCCTGCTCAAGCCGTATGTCACCTTCCAGGTCCTGGCTCAGCAGGGTGAATACAGAGAGGCCATCCCCATCTTAAAGGCGGCGTTGAAGCTGGAGCCTTCAAACAAGGTAGGCTGCTGCTGATCCTGCTGAGCTGGCTGGTGAAATTTGGCCAGGTCCCTACAAACCTTGGTGTCCACCATGGAGGGCTGAAGCCCCCTGTAGCTGTTCCCAGCTTCCTCCACGAAGGGAGGCTGGAAATAGCCCCTAGGACCTGGGCAGCCGTGCGGTGATGCACCCTGTGGTGCAACGTCTGAGCTTGGCTGGGCTGGTGGGTCCCTTATCTCCGTGTTACGAGACTCCTGCTTTGCCCTTTGGTCCTTGCGGTGGCAGGACTCCCTGCCAACCCGTCCCTGCTTCAGTCATCCTGGGTGTACAGTCCTGGCTGCTCCAGCTTCCCCGGGTGGGTCCAGCAGCTCGTGCCGTGGTTGCGGGAAGTGGAGCAGAGCTGAGTCCCCTCAGACTCGCTCAGCAGCCCAGAGCATGATTCACTGGGCGGCAGGAGCAGCCCAGACCTCGGTCCAGCGCCTGGGCCAGGGCAAGCTCTGGGTCAGGAATTTCCTGTCGGTTAATGATCAGCTGCAGGACTGGAGCCTCGGGAGAAATCAAAAACTGGTGCCAGGAAATGGT